AAAGCACAGCAAGTTGGCACAGTAGGGGGCACAGGTGGTGCATCAGCCAGTCATCTCGGTCATCTCGGTCAGTCGACCCGTGGCACCTGGGTCTGCCCCGTGACCTCCTGCCAGCGGGCTTTCGACACTTCACGTGGCCTCAAGGTGCACTTGGCCTGGCACAAGCATCGTGGTGACGTCACCGCCACTTAGTGGCGAATGGCGGTTGTTGTTGTTGTTGTTGTGTGTTAGTGTGTGTGTGTGTGTGTTAGTGTGTGTGTTATGTATGCCGATGAGTTGGTAATAGCTGCTCATTCAGAAGAGGAGTTGGAGACGCTGCTGCTGAGACTGGAGCGTGCCACTAAGAGGTGGGGCCTTACCATCAGCCCCACCAAAACTAAGCACCTGCCTGGGTATTTTGTACCATCGGACACTCCACCCCCACAACTCCCAATTGGTGATGGGGCAGTTGTGGAGAGAGTGGAGAGTTTCCCATACCTGGGCAGTGTGCTTATGACCGGCTCCAGTTTATCAGCAGAGGTCTCACTCCGAATCAGTCGAGCGGCAATATCTTTTCATCGGTTGCGTAACGCTGTGTGGAAGCTACCTGGTCTGTCGCTCCGCACGAAGCTTCAGGTCTTCTCGGCCACGGTCATTCCCTCCCTTCTCTACGCTTGCGAAACGTGGACCCCCCTAGTGGAGCATCTTCGCCGGTTGAAAACATTTAGGCTGGCCTGCCTACGATCCATCCTGGGTTTAACCAGGCTGGATTGTGTGAGGAGCTCACAAATCCTTGAAAGATCTGGGCAAAGTCCCATCAGTGAGCTCCTCCGGCAGGCAAGGCTGCGTTGGCTGGGTCATGTAGCCCGCATGCCCAGCCACCGCATGCCTAAACAGCTTTTGTTCGGCCGGATCGAGGGGGCTAAACGGGCGCGGCACGGGCTAGAGAGGAGATGGAGTGATGTGGTACAGGAGGACGTGGAGCTGAGTGGACTTGCCGATGACTGGTACCAGCGGTGTCAAGATCGGCCTCAGTGGAGGAGGCTGGTGAAGGACGCTACTGGGCAGTTGGAGGCAGTCGCCCTCCAACAACAACGGAGGGCGGAGGAGCGACGCTCACAACAACGAGCGGAGCGCCGGGTGGCTAAAGCACAGCAAGTTGGTACAGTAGGGGGCACAGGTGGTGCATCAGCCAGTCATCTCGGTCATCTCGGTCAGTCGACCCGTGGCACCTGCTGGGTCTGCCCCGTGACCTCCTGCCAGCGGGCGTTCGACACTTCACGTGGCCTCAAGGTGCACTTGGCCTGGCACAAGCATCGTGGTGACGTCACCGCCACTTAGTGGCGAATGGCGGTTGTTGTTAGTGTGTGTGGCTGGGTGTGTTAGTGTGTGTGTCTGGGTGTGTTCGCGTGTGTGTCTGGGTGTGTTAGTGTGTGTGTCTGGGTGTGTTAGTGTGTGTGTTAGTGTGTGTGTGTGTTAGTGTGTGTGGCTGGGTGTGTTAGTGTGTGTGTCTGGGTGTGTTAGTGTGTGTGGCTGGGGGTGTTAGTGTGTGACTGGGTGTGTTATCGTGTATGTCCTGAACAGTGTTGTTAGCAAGTGGCACGTATGAAGGCCTCCACGGGTTGGTGACCAGCACCACTCCCCTAGTGACCATTGCTTACAATATCGTACCAGGTACTTTTTGGAAGCTGAGTCGACCTAGGGGAGGCCCAGGAGTGGTTCAGATAACCGTCTCTGGTGTTGCACCGTGAGCTCGGGTTCACGGTTCGTAGCGCAGCGCTCTAACCGCTGCCCATGCCGCTGGCGCCGAGCTAAGGTGAGTCGTCTTCGTTCAAATCTAGATTCAGTTGTCTTCGTTAGTCGTCTCTGGAACCTGAAAATTCGGTCACAGTTCCTATGATCACTGTTTCATTGCTTTTATGGCTTTATTTTGGTGATTTTCGAAAAGTTTTTTGGTTTGGCCATGTTTGGTTGTTGTAGTACAGAGTTAGACTGATTGCCTTAATCTAAGTTGTTTTGTGGTTGTTGTTTGACTTGCATACCACTGGGATTTTTGCACACAGTGTTGGTGTACGGTGCTTTTCCTGCAAAATTTTGCTGTCTTTCTTGGATTTTCTGTTTGCACATAGTCACTTTAAGATGTTTTCTTGTTCATGTTTTTGTTTTTTGTTTGTTGCAGTTGCACCCGATTCAAGAGCCGAATGGCTCACAGGGCTAGACCTAATACATGAACTTGAACTTGACACCCTTAAAGTGAGCCCCCGACCTCTCTTGTCCAACCGCACTGCGATAGGCGACGCGATTCTAATCCCTCGGTTCGGGGGTGGGAAACTCGTGTTTAATGCGTGGCCAAAATAAACGTAGCGCACTGCCATAAATACAAACAAGACAATACGGCCATTGAACCAAGGTGTATAAGTATTTACATATATATTTACCCAAAGGTCACAAGGAGTCCGGTTACCTTTTCAAGAGAGTCCTACAATGGGACATTTGGCCAACACCAATTGTCATTGAACCAAGGTGCCCTTGGTTCAATGACCGCTGCACCCTACGCCTCCCTGCAGCCGATTCGTCATTCGCCTTGACCCATTCTCCACCGATCCTGCGATCCGACTCCCACGATTCAGTTCCGCGATGATGGGAGACCCCAAGTCAACCTCCGCTTGGTGTGAGTCGATCCCTCCTGCCCCTGCAAACAGGCAGCCGTTACCTTACTCCCAGCCGTCCATGCTGTCGACTTCAAGTCCCTGCTCAAATCTCGGCTCAAGAACTGTCTTCTCTTCTGCCTACAGCGATCTCGAATTGAATACCTATAATCTCAGGCAACAGTTGGAGGCAGGGATGGTTTTTTAAAAATATTTGTAATCGTAGAATGCGTTGACGTCTGCCGAACAAGTCGTCCGTGAAAGCGAGCTTCTTATCCCAGTGGGCTTCACTCTGTGGGAAATAAACTTCTGTGATCACAATAGTATAGCTTTATTGACACCAGGCATAAGCCTGGCGTGCATCTTATCCAGAGAATGTGACACTGTCAATACTTGTGCGAATCAACATCTGCATGATGCACATGCCACTGCGTAACAGCGCGTCCCGAGGTCCAAGAATAGATTGTATTTTAACTTGTGGTTTCGTCACATTATTCCAAAGGTTACCATCTTCATAGAATGTGCAAGCAGTTGGCCTAACGAATCATAAACAGTCGACTGTATTTATTCATTAAGTGTCTAGTCAAGTCACTCGGACGAGGTGCATATATTTACCCAAAGGTCACAAGGAGTCCGATTACCTTTCTAAGAGGGTCCTGCAACGGGACGTTTGGCCAACAGCAATTGTATTTTTGTATGTCATTTGCTCTGGGAGGAAACCCCATACAGACCGGGTGAAAACGTCCTCGCTGGACACACAAATCGCCCGTGCCAGGTGTCACACCCAGGCCGTTCTTGCTGCGAGGTACAAGTGTTACCATTGCAGCTCCCTGTGTGAATGAGCGCATGGTCTGTTTCCAACCATGGATTGGTATTTAAAGACGCCAGCCAATTATAGGACAAATTCTCGCACCTGCCTTTGTTACACGTGAATGAACACAATTTTAAAGTTACGATCAGGCGCGCTGCAGGAATGCCACCAATACGTCACTCCCCTATACATTGTGTTCGCATGTCACCAGCGATGTCACAAAAGCGCTGACCTTCATGGAAACGCGTTTTTAATAAGCGTCAATACTCGTCTCGGACAGCCAAGGACACAACGCCTAGATGAAGGTCTTGAAACGATTTACCCGAATCGTTGACACAATACCACTGCAGCCTTAGCATGGAGCGAGATGTATGCAAATTGAGATTAGTTACGGTGCCAGATAATCTTGAGCTCAAATCAACGAGGCAATACCACATAGGAGCCCGGGCACAATCTAACTAATCTGAGGGCCGCACGCATTTTCAAGCGTTGGCACCCCAGGCTACTCTGCTCGGGTCCGCATGTCCTTGTCGGTTTACATTAGTACACATATCACCCAATGTTTCTGAAACTTAATTTCTCTGCGATCAACGTAAACAGGCTTCCCGAGCCAACTTACGCTATAGGGAATTAAATGTTCGTGAATTTCTCACGTGACCAGAGTATGGATTCCTGCAGTCACGAAAGCTTCAAATCAAGATTGACCGTTTATGTTTTTGCTCAGAATCCCATTTGCTTCGTTGTACTTTAATTTTTGGCTCTTGTACGTTTGGGGGCCCATGTCACTCTTGCAAATGTGACCATCCTTGATCTTTTCTCAGACTTAACACAAACTTGAAATATTCTAACGGTGAAGACTCATTTTAGCAAGATTTTGACAAAGGACTTGTGGCAAGGCGAGGCTTTGGCTATATTTCCACATGGTCGGGTTCTATTCCCAGAGTTGTCTTTCGGGCGAATTTTAACAAAGCACATGGTGCAGCTTCCACGACCGCCAAGGCCACCGAGTGGCATCGTTTGCGGTCACCCAGGTGCGCATTTCCCAAGCAGTGGTTTCGGTCCCACGAAAGAACGAGTCAAGCTAGTACACACAACTCGGTGGCATTAAAAGCATAATTAGGCGACAATTTTGGCCTTCTCTTCCACACTGGATATACCCCCCCCACCCCCCGTTTGGAAATCACAAGTACCCACATAACCCAACCATTCTGCTTGCCGATTAACTCGTGTCCACATTTACTGTTGGGAAAAAGAGCAGAAATCAAACTTCCGTTCAATCCCCAACCATTGCTCGAGCGAGTTAATTCTGCAAGATTCTTCTTCCACCCACACCAGTTTAACCCCCCACCCCTAAGGTTGGCCTCATCCAGCAGGGGATTGACCAAGGATTCTGTATATTCTGAATTCAGACTGCATCAACTTGAGCGTGGACCATGCTGAATATTAAAATCGTTGTCCATTTCCAAACCTCGAAGTATAGTAATTCGTGGGGCAAAAATTGACGTGACACAATACCAGTGCCGAAAACGCATAGCAGCAGACACATTGTTCAACAGGCCAGATTTCATTAGCACAATTTTTTATTCAGACAGAAGAGACTGCCAAGCAGCTCGGTTTACTCAGTAACGCAAACAGGCAAAATTTTATTTGTGAAGCATTCATAAAAGAAAAAAAGCACTTTCTTCCTTTATACCATCACCGACCTAGAAGTACATTAACTACAATCAGCAACACCGTTTACGATTATCAAAAAACACACAAGTACTCGACTAATAATAGCCATGCCACCAGTTGTAAGCCGTGGATGCAGGGGTGAGAGGGAAGGCAGGCGAGTGAAGAGGCCTGGTAGCACGAGAGAATGCAGAATCCGGAGTGTGGTGGCACGAGATAGCCACGCACGTTGCAAGGCAGCGGGGGGGGGGGTGTCATGCCTGTACGGGCATCATGCGGAAGCGATGTACGCAGCAGCTTGTGAGCCTGCGCTCTAGACTACAACAGCGCCAGCAAGGGAGGAGGGGGGGCAACGGTGGGGTGCGTGACTCTCGTGCTGGCGAGCACCACGCACGCAGTGGCGCCTTCTGCCACTGCGCGTTGTGGGATCCGTTCTGGTTGCGCACGCTGCGGGTATCAGATAGCGTCTATGTCGACATCTGCCTCCTCCTCCGCCTGCACTGGCTTCTTGATGGTTTCCACCTTCAGGTGGGTGGTCTTCTCATCGTACACCACCTGAGAAAATGATATGGGGCCATTAAGCTCTATAGTCAATGCTATGCAGCACACAAGTGATTTAGTTAATCGCACGGAACATTATGTTGAATGCAGTTGTAAGAAGGCCACGAGGTTTGGTGAGAATGAATCACGTCTCACAAACACGGTAAAATCCTCCTGTTTCTCTCCCTGCCTTAGTAATGGCCAAGCGATGGAAAAACGCTTGACCACTTTCGAAAGCAGGGTTCGCGTGGCCCTTAACACGCGTCGTTGCATTAGCCCCACACCCATGTATACGTGCACGCGCTGCTCGAACCTCCACATCCTTGTCATCGTCGTCTTCATCGTCCTCGCCATCCTCAGACTCCTCCTCAGCCTCTTTGAGCCAGTTGACAAAGGGGGCCGCCTTGGTACGGATGTCCTTGGCCAGCTCTTTCGACACGTATTTCTTTGAAACCTGCACGAATGTGCATGCATCTCATTAAGCATGACGCTCAGACACCATAGTTTGACAATGAGTAATAACCAAACGTATAAAGTGGGCGCACTGAACACCCGAAGTCAACTATGAAGACCAGGTCTAACGTAACATAATCTGGGGCCCTTTCCAACAGCTGTCATTCAAAAGCCGGTGCGCCACCCTTACCTTATCGTGCCAGCCAAGGATGGCCTCCTCCTCCAACAGGTCCGAGTCGTACATGTCCTTGAGAACGTGCGCCACCTTGGGCAACAGCTGGTCCCGGTGGACGCGCACCACGCACTCAAACCCACCCAGAAGGTACTTCTGGGCCTTCAGGTTGCGGTGGCAAAACTGCAAAGACATAGCCACGTGATCAAATAAAAACATAAACTACAACATTTGAGGGCACAGATTATGATGGGTGCAAAGGCCTGCAAGTGTCGGGTGTGCTGGGTGCGGTGGCCTGGCCAAGCAACGGTGTGTCTTGCGCCCACTCGCAGCGGACGTACACGCAGGAAGTGGCGCTTGTACTTCTTGAGCTGGTCGCGGATGTTTTCGTTGAGCAGCAGCTCTGACAGGATGAGTGGCGCCATGTTGCGCACCTCCAGCCGCTCTGCCTCGGCCACCAGCTCCTTGTCTGCGCCCTCGAGGACGCCCTCATCGCGCTTGTGCTGCACACGCCACAACATCGCCACCGAGCAAGATGAAACATTGTGGCCATAATCACAGCGCTTACCCCTCCACTTTCCAGTCGAATCCCTATCAGTTGATTACCACTAGTGGCTGTGTTTCAAGCCACTTATGTTGAGGACCATCCACAAGACATGACCAATTAGTCTCATTCATCTTGCATGTGTTAATTGACCATATATAGAGGACAAAGCAGTTACTGATAATATGGCTCAATAAAAAAACTATTTATTGCAAAAAAATGTTGGTTTCTGTTGCTCATCATTAGCAACGAGGCCCCTGCGCTCAGTAATCGTGAATTCAAAGAAGGATTTTCTATCACCAACAAACAGGATTAGTTATAAATTAAGTATCCATCTCCCATTACAAAACTCACCATTTTTCAAAGGTTGCAAGAATCCAGCTAGTGCAATGTAGAGGGGGGCACCCGTGCCAATGTCTGGTACCTTGACAAAGTCATAAAAAATGTTGACCCTCTCCTCCAGGGGCTTCTCCAGGTCATCGGTCATGGTGAGAATCTTGGCGTGCTCACTCATCTCGTCCATGCGGCGCCGTTGCGCCTCCTCAGACGTGTCATCACACCAGTCGTCGTCATCGACTGTGCCAGCCTGCATGCATGGGTGAGGCCTCGTTAAGAATCATGTTTTCACCTCGCCTAACCAGTGCTCACAACTCACCCACAACCTGCCCTGATAAACAAGCCTAGCTATAGCCACATACATTCCAGCCCCAAATAAGCCCTAACACAACCCCCATCTCCGCTCAAATCTCCATCCTACCCACACAATATGCACCCCGATGACAGCCCTCGTAAAGGCACCTACATCTCACCTTGCCCAGCGAGCCTTCGTAAGAGCCATTTATTCCATGTTGCCAAATGAGAACATGTTAAGACAATGGCGGAGCCAGGATTTTCAGGTAGGGGGGCAACTCCTTCAGCAATGACAAATGATAGGAGTTGTCAGTAAGGACTTGTCCCTTTGCTTTTGATTCGACGCGTGTGCGGCGATGGCACAAGACACCGCCATCACTGTCCAAGTCGAGGATCCAATACCTCACCCCTGCCACCTAGCAAGCGGGCTCTATATACATCCGCAAACCAGCCCTTTCTAAAGAAGCTCTCGTAAAACACACCTACACATCTCACTACACAAGCATGTGCCCATAACCCACACTCGCCATGCCTCGCAAGACCTGGTTTGACCACACAACCCACCCTGTGTACAAACCTTAGACGACCCACCTCATTACAAACATCCATACAATACAGCCAACGTTTGGCTTGCGAGTCATCAGCCATCTCTTTGAGCGCTCGCCCACGTTTGTTCTAGAGGGGCAACAATGCTAGGTCATAATTAGACCTGACGATGCGTAGTTTTTACCAGCGTATGCACCATTACATGACTGGTTTGCGCTGGCCAAGCGGTTTTCATCTCAGGGGCTTTAAAAAACAATGGTTCCACCACAAACACAACTAATCTGTATTCTTTGATTCTTTCGGTAAAGTAACAGTAGATAGAAAAAAATACAACTTTCCTGCCTCAGGTCACAGAAATGAAATGTTCAAAACATGACTTGGGGGGATATTTTCTGTGTTCCATTTAAATAGAATCCAAATACTGAATTCACTGTAAAGGATTTCCATACCGAATCTTTGAAATGCAAATCATGCTACCATGTGCATTTCACTATAGATATTACTTGCAAGAGGCTTTTTCGTCTGCGAGTCGCGAAGATTGAGATTTACGCCAGTGACCCACAAAACGCCCCCCACCCCTCCCCAGTGCCCAACTTGACGGCGCCACTCACCACCTCAGGGACATCGATGTCCTCTCCGTTGGCACGCTGGTTTGCGTTCTCCGCCGCAGCGCTCGAGACTGAGCCATTCTTCTCGCCTTTTCCTTTCTTGCTTTCCTTCTTGTCCTTCTTGGCCGTGCTCTCGCTCATCTCTGTTCACACAACAAACCGTCAGTCAAAATTCTGAACCCATTCCCCCGTTCAAGGTCAGACTTGCCTCTATTCCAACTATAATTCACTGCCGTCTACAACTCATTTTCAGCTTGCACTGCGATTGTTTTGTCCAGAACCACCACTCTTTTGTACAGCCGAGACACTTGTATTTTGACCGATTATGAATTCAATGCAATTTGGGATTGTAAACCTGAATGTTACTGCATCGACAAGACTATACTGCATTCCCTATAGTAACGTGAAGCCAATTTTTACACGACCACATACTAAATTACCAACATAGCGCTACAATCTCAGCATGTTTTAAAAGTCCCAGTAAACAATGCAGCAGCCTCATGTGAAGAATTTGTTTACCGGAGCATGTTGTGTCTGCAAATCTAAATCCAGTTTACCAGGCGGGTTCTTGAGGATGAAGGTGCAGAGCTTGTGTTTTGTGTCCAGCATGCCACGGTAGCCACATGCCTTGCAGGATTGACTGATGGTCTGCTTCTTGTGGTTCACATGCTGTTGCATAAAACAAAATATTTATTGAACACGCAATTGTTGCGAGGAAGCACATAAAGGCTTGAACAGCAAACAGGGGGCCTGTGTGGTTCGTACTACACTGGCCACCTTCACCACCCATAATGCTGGAGTGTAAATGGCTAATCATACGCCCGCTTCCCACAATATTTCCACGATTGCTCTCATTGCACAACATACAGCAGCTTGCCTGTCTGAGCAAGGCAGCCTAAAGCTGTTTGACAGTCACTGCTCTCATTTTGTAATGATATTGGTCAATCTAATCTGTTCTTCGTGATCATGTGTCAACTCAAGATTGCTGTCAGATTGTCAACGTTATTTTCCACTCCGTAAAGTGACGAATATCCCCGAAACCTCCTCAGCCACCCCCCCGTACACTCCCCTCCAACTCCACCCCCAACAACCACTCACCAAGTCAGTCTCAGGGTTCTCACACTCTGGGCAAAGGACGAACTTCTTGATGAATCCGTCGAGCATGTCCTGCAGGCGGTTCGACTCGTGCGAGCCATTCACTATGTAGCGCTCGTTCTTAGCGTCAAACTGGGTCTGTGCCCCCAGCTCGCAGCCGAAGTACTTGGTTGGATCTGCAACACGTACAGGGGGAAGGGGTGGGAGTGGTGAACAGTTATTGTCAGGTGGACGACTGATCCACTGCGGTTGGAAGAAAATGTCTGCGTGCAAGTTTCACGTGCAGTTACACAGATCCACTTACATGTTGGAGGCCGATTCAAAGCCTTGGCAACATCAACCATGTTCACAACCACTGTCTTGATGCCATTTCCCTTTCCTTCGACCTGGAGATGGAACAGTGAACGCAGGTCCAGCAGACATGTGCATTAGGAACCCAACATTTTAGCAAACGAGTACCAATTACGCATTTAACCATAAGAGGTAACAATAGCAAAGAATTCAACATTGTGTGCAAACTCCAGCACAAAGGGTATAGGCTAAATTAGACTACTAGTCAACACGCAGCCAGTGACTGGTCTCAAACAGAACCATTGACTAGTTGCTTTGTTTAGCAAAACATGTGCAAAAGTGTGAATTGGGTTGACATTCACATGGTACGTTATAATATATACACGTGTATAATTGCTAGATATAGAACGGCCAAACTGAACAAACACTAAGTTAAGCTTTCTCAAATTCAGGTGACGGTTATACCCAAACGTTTTCAATGTGGACAGCCACAGCCGTATTCGATTCATCTTTAGTTGTTGATTTGTGCTGGGCCAAGGATAGCAAACTGGCACTGCTGGAATGGCTAGCCTGACATTGGGCAATTACATTCGTGTCATGTTTGAAAAAGCTAATTTTAACAAACTCCAAATAATCATGTTGGCACTGCTGCAATTAACATAAATCCATATATCAATTGGTCAAATATATCGCTCGCTTCTACATTCCAGTAACATACTGAACATCTGTGAAAGAGCTTTAAAAGCCCATGGTATTCCTCCAGTACAAATATTCCGATTCTGACGCTAGTGGGTCTCGGAGTCTCACTTCACCCATCACACCAGCGTGTCTATGCCCACACCCCCAGCCCACCCAGCCCACCCCAAACCGACCTTCGCTATAAGTCGTGGCATCTTGTAGCGGTAGAATTGGTCGGACACGCTGCGATTAACGTTGAGCGCCATGGCGAGTGGGGGCGCGCGGCCAACGGCGGGCTGTGACTGTTGCTGCTGCTGTGGCTATTGCTGTGGCAGTGGCGGTAGTAGTGGCGGCGACGCTGGCGGGCGTGGGGGGGTGGGCTGAGCGGCTCTGCTGCGGCGGCTGCTCCTCTCCGGCTGCGCGGCTCGCTCTTCTTACTCTGCTGCTGGCGCTGCGTCTCGGCGCTCGCTCCACACACACAGCTGACGCGGAGCCTCGGCTCGGACATGAAAATCTCTTCCGCGCCGCGGTGGCTCTGCCCAAATGCGTCGCCTCTCGCTCCACTTCGGTTGCAATGGCTGCCAAACAGCTCTGTTGGAGGGGGGGGGAGAGAGGACGCGTGGTGGGAGGGAGGAGACGGGGTTTCGACGCGACCCGACGTTATTATGCGCGAGCCGCGTCACTGCGGATGCAGTCCGCTGCTGCTGAAATGGCCGTATCCCCTCCCTCTATACGCGCCCATCAACTCATTAGGAGGCGGCGCGTTGACTCATCCATTGACGCATTTAAAAAACGACCCTTTTCACTCAAGTATGCATAAATTACTTGCTAGGTGTGATATATGCCGATTGCATGCCGGTGACGCACAAAATACGGCGGCATAAGCAGAGCTAAACGTAGTCAAATTGAGGCGAATCCTCGACTCCCGCGTTAGATGGGTGATTAACTTCATTGCACAGATACCTGTACACGATGCGCGATTTAATCAGCCCATACTAAAGTCGTTCACTTTCGTGCGCATAGGCATTACCAGTTTATACATATAGGCGCATGCACTGATAAAACCATGCAAGTACAGGTAGATTAAACCACACGTTGCAACGCTTAGGACTTGACAAAGACGCTATACATCGAAACCGGGGAGACCGTGCTAGGCACATGTACAGTACACACTGCGGAGAATACCACGTGGGTGCGGGTGGATTGGAACGAAGGGCCCTCAAGACTTTGCCCTTGGGAGTGTCTAGACCCACGTGTAGACATGTGGGGCCGACTAAAAGGTGGGAGTCGTTTCCCGCTTGGGCTGGGATTAAACATGATCGACAAGTATTTTAAGGTACAGGTTGGTAAAAGCCACCCCCACCCCCATCAACACGGCTATATACAGCAGGGAGGTCAATGACCACGTTATAGGCCTAGGGCGGATGATAAAATACTAACGCATTACGCGAAACCACATTTTGAATAGCAAGAATTGAGACAAAGACTACGAGGTGTTAACAGATTAAGTGGAATGGAGGCGCGAAAAAGGGGCGAGAGAACTTTAGGGTTTGGCGAGTCATACAGCAAAGATGACCGATAAGGTGTGGGGGGGGGAAACACGTGGCACGAATTCGTGTCCGTACAATGGACAAGAGCAAGGGGCGTGCGCTCACCCAAGGCCGAAGACTGGATTGCACACGTGGCCGAGTCCGTGCGCACGTTTTACACACACCACGTGGGCGAACACAATTGTCTTTTGTTTCAGGAGTACACGCGCCAAGAATTCGTTCGCCACAGGAGAATATCTCGGTTACACGCGGTCGGGGTCACATGAGTGGCGACGACGATGGGAGGCGATGAGGAACGATATACCACCTACGCACACCTCGCTACGAACCGCGGCGTCGTTCAATCCCCCATCCGCTCCGCATTAAACACTTCTCTCGACCCCCTTACCCACCACCACCCCAGCCCTTTAACCCATCCCGCACCGAGGTGGACTCAGCCTAAACAGAAACAAGGACGAGCAGCCGCTCACGTCCGCCTGCGTCATGCAGCGTGGACGCCACCACCACCACCGCCGCCATCTTGTGCGGAGGCCTCCGGCCATGTTGGGTCGCGTCGACGACGAGACGCGGTTACCCCCTCACCACCACCATCACCACCCCCACCACGACGTTAATAGCCGTCGCCTTCAACATCAGACCTCTTTAACCACCACCGGTCGCATCTCGGGCGAAGCTTTTCTTTAACAAAAACCGCGAACCGTCGACAGCGCGCGCCATCACGAAACACGTCGAAATCAGCCGCGAAGGGGGTCGCGTCAACAGGCAATCGACGACGAAGGCGTTAAACGACGGCTTATCCTCCACGACAAACGCGAGCGAGTTTCATTAATAAACCGGGGGGAGGGGTGGGGGGGGACACGTACCGTGTTCGCAAAATAAAGACATAAAACCGCCGGGTCGCGCGAGAGCGAGGAGACGGAGGCAGGAGGCGGAGGCAGAGGCGGCTGCTGCGGCTGCCGAGGTCCCGACGCGCGGCTCCGTGGAGCAGAGAGAGGGGGACTCAGACCTGCGGCATTAAACAACCACCAATAATTACCTTGGGAAATTAATTCAGTTAAATATCATTAACGGACGTGCTTGGTCAAATACCGAGCAGGCGCCATAATAACAGGGTGCTTGAAAGATTAACACAAATTGAGGAGAAAAAAAAATATTTAAAATTAAAAACCTGGTGTAAAAAAATACTTGCAGAGATATCGAATTTCCCTACAATGTTTAAATATAAGTGCAATAGCGAGATATAATAATAATAGAGCGCGTTATGCTGCTGAGGGGAAGGAGGCAGAGCTGCGGCTCTCACCTCGGCGCGGGGCGGGGACTGAGCGCGGGAGGGCGCGCGAGCCCCGGATATGGCACCGCGTGACGTCACCGCGGGACCGGACGTGACGTAACAGGGCGGGGCGGTGGGGGGAGAAAGCGAACGAGGGCGGTCGCGCGCGCTCTCTTCCAGAAGTTTCCCGCGCAAACTCCGCCCCGCCCCCCCTCCCCATCGAGACCACGCCCACTACTCTCTTCTCCTCCCTGCTATTGGGGCTCCGCCCCTTTTGCTGGGTTAGAAGGCGACGCACCGGATTATAAGACGCACCACCAAACTTAAATTTCGATTTAAAGCTTTCGTGACTGCAGGGATTCCTCTTCTTGGTTCTTTCGGTAAAGTCACGTAGAAGGGAAGTAATAAAATAATAAAAATAAAACAATACAATTATTTTATGTTTTATTTATATTATACAATTATTTTATTATGTTTTATTTATATTATTGTATTAATTCCCTTCTACGTGACTTTACCGAAAACACCAAGAAGACCACCAAACTTGTTAAACCACCTTGGTTTAACACACCTACACACATGTACCGCATAATAAAACGCACCCCAAACGTTTAACTTTAGAATGCATGGTTAAGTTGCGTATTGTAATCCGGAGCATAACCGCGTGACTCTATCTGCATGGGCAGTTGATGTGTTGCTCGTGCGTTTCGTGGGGAGTGATCTGACCAACAAGCGCCCACGAGGCAATGGGTGGACGTCACCCGCCACAAATCCGGCTGGTGACGTCATCCGCCACTAATCCGGCTGGTGACGTCATCCGCAATGAATCCGGATGGTGACGTCACCCGCCACGAATCCGGCTGGTGACGTCACGCGCTGATGTACACGGTGACGTCACCTCCGCACCCGCGTTGCGCGGGTGGGGGGGGTGGTCAGCGTTCAGCCTGATGACGTCTTCCCGTTGTCACTTTAGCGTGTATGGTGACGTCAACGCTTCAAAGTGTTGAGCACGTGGGTTGGCTTTCGAGACCAATATCATAAGAGGTTTAGTTGAGTTAGATCGTGTAAATATAAATGTGTCGTTAAACCCGCCACCACCCGACACAGCCAATTAGTAAGGTTTGTCACGTAAACAGAACGTGCCAATTCGTTACGAGTAAAGCCACAACATTTACAATCTGAGTACGACGTTTCGCCAGTAATTACAACCGGCATCATCAGGCAACAGCCAGATTGCGTTGTTTGAGGGACTCTTCATCAGGACCCATACCTCTCAACCCCTTATCAGTTCTTACCGTATTACAGACCAATTCAGAGCTTATTGGCCACCCTGGGCCCTTTTATATCTCAACGTTCATCCTACAAAGTCCCATCACCAGAGAAAAGTATCAAATGTTAAAGGTAGCTCTACGATTAAATGGCTACAACAATGCTAAAATTAACAGCATTGAATGTCAAAGCAAGATCGACCGAAGATCGAACAGCAATACTGCTGAAAGCGATCAGGTTATTAAAACAATTAAATACTATATATTGCAGAAGTAATTAACAAATTAGCTAAAGTTTTAAAAAAAACTAAAAAATCTAAGTAAAATTTGACATGGTACACAAAATAAAATAAAAACAGCATCTTGTACTAAAGATTAATTTCCTAAGTTATCAACAGAAGGTGTGTAATCAATCTAGATTGGAAGTTTTCGTGACTGCATGGATCCATACTCTTTGGTTCTTTCGGTAAAGTTACGTAGATATAAAATAAAATTAATTAAATCACGTTTCGATTGCAACACAAGCAATCATCATCGGGTGTGACAACCACACCAAGAACATTTTTACTGATGAATTGCTTATGTGGCAGATGCTATATTGGACAGACGGGACATAACAGCGTAAAACTACACGAACACCAAAGAAATATCAAATACTCTCAGACACAACTGTCGGCAGATGCAGAACATACTTGCCAAGGACACTCAATTGATTTTGATAACGTTGAAGTGTTATGTAAAACTAATTATTACTGGCCGAGACTAATTCTAGAATCCATTGAATTGAGAGACAAATACATGTAGTTTTAACCCCTCTGACAGCTACAGGCTGAGTGCGACCTGGAAGCGTATTATTAAGTAATACATCTTACAACTGCATTCCTTATAGAGGAAACACATGCTAATTAACTAATTACTAATATTTAATTACAATACCCCCCTCCTCCGCCTCTGAGCTCTGCATCTGATTGGTTGAATGATGACCTACTCTTGCTCTATTTAAGACCAGAAGCAGGTGGATTGCTTCACTATTCTGGCAAATCCCCCGATTCTGGTTGATGTAATTACCAGCAAAGCGTAATATTCAAATTGTAAATGTTGTGTGGATTTACACTCCAACACACCGGTGGGCTGAAGTAGTAACTAATTGTCGCGTTGTTTACGTGACACACATTACTGGCTGTGTCGGGACGTGGAGGGTTACGACACATTTATACTTACGCGATCTAACCTAAAAACCTTTATTATGAAGACAAACATTTTGTTGTTGTTTCTCGTATTGAAACGGCTGTACGCCGTATGGACCTGAAATCTCAATTTCCCCTGTACAAGAATATGGTTAAACCGTATGGATTGACAGCTGATGACCTCAATTACCTCTCTTGACAAACTGAATGGAGTTCAAAAAAATTAACCCGTAAAAACAAAGTTTTTCACTATAAATCCTTTATATGCGTGGCGGCGAGAGTCCTCTCGTCCTCTGGCTTGAGATGGCTGCCACCATTAAGCAATTGGTAATTAAATATAATTTATTTTTTCCTAAAAAGTGTAAAATTTTTGAAAAAAATTTTCACGAAAATAAATTGTCACGCACAACGAGTCTGTGTGCAAAATGTCAGCTCGATTGGATCACGGGAAGTGGGTTAAAAAACGACCAAAAGATTTGCACGGTCGTAAGCGTGCAAGCAAGCAAGTGAACTTAATATAAAGGATTTAATAACTCGCAAACACTTTGTGAAAGACCCAACGCAGAAGATCACTGGATTTGATCATTCACGAAGCTCATGGTAGATGCGGATACCTGATGCATAAAAGTAAGCTTAAAAGCACTCCAGTGCGTGACTGTGGTCACCCAGGAGAGACCGTCCACAATGTATAACGACGCAATGCCCAATCCACAAATACAAAGGAGACATCACGGTGATACAACTCCGCTGATCCTTGGACGATGTTGCCTGGCTTGGCCACCTGAATGTGAAATTGTAGTTGTTATTCTGCAACAACATCAGCCACACGAATCAATGGCGAACCCATCTTCCGGAACATTTTGGATCCCATTGTTAATTGGGAAATTCGGCAATTTCACATGCCTGTCCCCGGCAAGAGAAGACTCATTCTCGCCTTAATGCGTATTTTCCTGCGAGATCGCTTGACGGGCACTGGCTCATTATTGATGCTTTCTTTACCACTGTGGTCAGCATTAATCATAATAGAACTTGTACCGCGCGGTAATTAACGCGGTGCGTTAATCGAGCCAATTAAATTGAAGATTGAGATTTCAGTGTGTGCGTGCGCACGTGTTACACGTGACGATGCCGGCGTAAATTGCATGATGCACCACGTGGCACGCGATTACCAATCATCGGGCGGGTGCAGCGTGGAACGAGTTAATTTGTATTTGTTAGGGGAGTTAATTGGTTAAACGCGTGGTGGGTCGCGAGGAGTTTGGGAAACCCTGCCCAATTCGCAGCTGTTCCTGTACAGCACAAAGGTGACTCAAGGCATGGCTCAATTATGGGCAAGCCTCCCAGAAGGGGGCCATAATTGTGAAACAAAGCAGTGGACGTGAGTGGCTCCAAGTGTCGATAATGGTTGATGACGATGATCAATTCACTGATGGATGAAAGTAGTGTTCGTCTTAGGGGTTGGTTGAAGGCAGTCGCTTTAAGCTACAGTGAACAGAACCATGGTACAAAGAACTACAAGCCGCGCAAGGGAATGTTTAAAATTTATTTATTTTATATTCCAACATATTTCACACGACCAAACTAAATATAAACACCCTGCCTAATGCAAACCAGGGTACACAATACTATGTACTATGCTCTGTGTGTGTGTATAACTGTGGCCCAACTTACATACACGTTGCACTTAACATAGAAGGCAAATAATTCGCAATCGGCTACAGACATCCCCTCAGCCAAATGGTGGTGGTGGCAGTTGCAACAAAAGCCACAGCTCTGAGATTGCGAAACACTGTTGCCACCAATGCCGTCCAGTTCAAGGAGTTGAACTCCTTTGTAAAATTATATTTACCAGGCATTTTGTCTGGATCAAAAACAACGATTTTTTTGTTAAAGGCCAGCAAGGCCAAATTACACTTCAAGTGGTTGTTAACTTGCCTCCGCAGTCCTAAATTTGGGACACCGCACCCCATTATAATCCCGACACAATTATTCTCAACACGTTTTATAATGAACACCTGGCCTTGGGAGGAGTCAAATTAATCAAACTATATAATCAGCCTCATGAGGAGTATAATCGGTGAGCCTCTCAGACACATACACGCTTCTGGTAAAAGGTAAAGCGGAAGGACCTGCAAATGCTTTCTCACACCACTGCTGGCCAAAAGACCTCCCTACGAGATGGAGCCTTAGTCGAAAGTCCTTTGGAGGGTATTTTGCCTACTTTTCCATGTTGGCCAGATATCTGAGAAATGAGAGTACCCGAACTTTACCCGAATAAACAGGGCCTCCTGTGGACTGGCTGTGATGTACCTATACTGCTAGATGGAC